GTATGTAAGAGTATAAATTTCGCACATGTTAACATATATATATATATATATGTATATGTATAAATATATACAAATATATATATATATATACATACATACAAAAGTGATGTACCTATCTATATATACAAACATACAAAAGTGTATTTATACTAAAATACGTACATACATGCATACGTACATACATTTATATACAATATAGATACACACACAAATATATATATACATACATATAAATATACATACAAATACATTATATATAAAATATTAGATACGTATATAGAGAAATATATATCCAAACGAATATACATAATTTGTACATTTTTATGACGTACGTACTTCACAGCTGGCGTTGTCGTTCTAAGATAGGCTTAATAGTACAATAAACAAGACAGATGTCACACTTCAATTAAAACGCAGCCTTCTCCTTTTTTATTCGTTTTCGCCTTCGATAGTATGGACGCGTATTTCTGCAGAATGGTTCATAAATGCATGCAAATACGCTTGTGTCTCATGCAAAAGTATCTATATACACATCTACTTATGGTGTAACAATTGCACAGAACTCAGCACACGCTCTTCGGTCAATAAAGTACACCAACATGCAAGTACATTGGCAAAAAAGCTATCTATTTAATTTTTTCAATGCAACCGCATCCGATGTTAAAGTGAACCAGCTGCCATATACCCATGGGCATCTTCAGAGAGTGGCCAACATGACTAAAGCACACTCTCACCAACTACTACTGTCTTGAGCACAAACTAAACTAGCAGGTAGCATAGTGTATTTCCACACTGCGACAAATATATATTGAGAATGTTTAACTCGCGGCTTCCTCATGAGTGATCATATTTCTACACTTCTTACTATGCAGAATATATGTTTTATTGATATCGAGCCACGAAATATTCGCTTGTCGTGAGGTTGACAGGAAGGGAACTGTGATTGGGAAAACTAGTTTTCAATAGAGTAAACAAGTGAAGTCTTTGTAGAATAAACACGTCTCAAACATATAACACACCGCCCACGACTGCCTCACACGACGAGCCACCCTCTATTGTGAAAACTCAGTTCTTGTTGACAGTCAACCACTTTTGTAGGTATAAAAGTAGAATACACCAGCACATGAGTTACATACGTGGTCGAGTTTGTACTCACGGCAAATCTGCTTTCGCTCAGTAACGCATGCGGAGACAAGAGAACGCGTTTGCGCGTATCAGACACCCATTCGAACTTTCAGCCACAAGGTCGGCCCATGACTACCCGATAGCTAATGATCTCGTCGTTCTTATAAGAGAGTTGTATGTAGACCAATGAACAAACCTCTGAATACAGAGTAGTGCTAAACTGCAGACACAATGAGTGGCGAAGATTGCAGTTAAGCGTGTGGTATTCCAGGAGGCTCTCTCAGAGGGCAGAGACCAGGAGTAACGATTCTATCGAGAGTACCGATCCACTCCCTGGCCCACGCTGGATCTGACTGGGAGTGTGAGAGACCGTTCATCATAGAATCAGTGTGTATACAAATTAGAGACCCTCTCGAATACCCCTCTGATCATTGATGGTGTGACAAACTGGCTCATAGGTCACGTATCCTTGGCGTGGCGTTCAGACAAAACCTATCTATTTCTTTCGTGAAGGCAGACAGGAACTATTTATTTATTGGAAAACTCTTTCGAAAGCAAATGAGATTATGAGACAGTAGATAAAGCCGGCTATCACTGTCTTACCCGACTTACAATAGGAGTCAATAAGATTGAAGTATATGAATACGAAACTGATTAAGAATCTATAGGACATTCTCACTGGCTACAGCCCGTCATGGGAATCAGACCCAACTCGCACCCAACGGGCCAACGGTTTGCTTCATGTCACATCACTCACATTCCGATAACATTTTATACCAGTTCCTTTGTACCGTATTCTCATTTGCGTTTTTTAAACCGTTGGCTTTCGCGCGGGAGAATAACCGTTTCTATTTCTGAATGTTCATTGGTTGAAATTAAAACAGCCCTTTTATTTTCAGCTTTTGGTCTTTTTCTCGTGTTTTGGGGCTTTTTGCGTATTTTGCGTACTTTCGAGACGATCATTTTAACAGCTGCTCTGGCTGCCGCTGGCTCTGGAGTACTGGACGTTGTGTCGTATATTTTAATGGTTTAAAACGTATTACCGTAAGAATCCCGCCCGGCTGTCCCACAAGCCGGACAGCAGTACTGAGTATAAAATAGCGACTCAATTTGCACTTGCTCAGCTGTAAATACGTAAAACAAAACGGAAATGTTGTTGCAACGGTCGGTGAAAACGCACTTCAAGCAAAGAGTCCAACTCTCCAACGGACCAACGGCAAGTCGGCAACGGGCCTACAAACTTTTTTTTTAAAATACAGGGAATTCTCTCTACCGTAGACGGTCGAGCCGTAGAGTCGTAGACTTCCTGCCTGCCTGATTTATTTATTTTAGAAGGGTATGCTACTTCGCTCTACCGGAGAAGAAAATAAATTAGTTCAAACTGCGAGTTTTGTGTGCAGAATACAATAGAGAAAACTTTCTGGGCCTCTCTCGTGTGATCACGTCGCGGAGAGCTATTTTTACAGTACGTAGCCGTATACAAAATAATAAAGCGGGCGATCGTTTGCGAATTCATTTCAATCGAACACTATCCAAGATTAGATCGTATCAGTTAACCTTTAACGCCGTACACTCAATATATAAACGCAATCATGACCACTCGTGCGCAAGTTATCAAAGAGGTTGTCCAGGATGCCAAGGAGGAGGCACGTGAGCACCCCAACGTACTACAAACACCACTGCAAGAAGAGACTCCCCTTGGTAATGGAGATGGTTCAGACATGTACAACACAGGCACTAGCGGAGAGACACAAAACGTCTCAGCTGTGAGCACTGGTGATGATACGGCCGCCACTGCCGCTGCCACGAGCTCTGCTGCCGCCGACAGTTCAGCCCAGACCCTGGTACAAGAACGCAAGGAGAACGTAGCTGACGCCAAGGAAGAAGCACGCAACAACCCCGATGCACTACAGACGCCTTTGGACCCTGAAGAGCCTATCAACGCTGACGAGGCTGCCCCGAAGGCTAGCGAATCTTCAACGGACGCTGCACCCGCCGATGCCCCTGCCAGTGCTGATCAAACTCTGGTACAAGAGCGCAAGGAAAATGTAGCTGACGCTGTAGAAGAGGCACAAAAACACCCCGACGCCTTACAGACACCTCTAGAGCCTGAGGTGCCTCTCGAGGCCAAGCCAACTGCTGACGGTGCTGCCGAACCTGCGCATACCTTAGTACAAGAACGCAAGGAGAACGTGGCAGATGCGAAAGAGGAAGCAAAGGCACATCCCGATGCCCTGCAAACGCCCCTAGAGCCAGAAGAGCCTCTAAAGCGAAAGGCTGAGGACGATGGTCGTGAGGGTGCCGCCAAGGTAGCCAAGTAGATTGGTCTTCGACAAGCAGTTATACTTAACTTGATATGATCTTATAGTAGATCGAAATTGTACAGGGTGAGCGGTAGAAATACTGGCAGATAACACTAAATAAAACTGAAGATGCTCTTATTGGGTGCTTGTGTGCTACGTTGGCTTTAATTTAGATTCTACAATCTGAAGTCTAAAGTTCTGAATGGAAGATCTACTGGTGCGGGACTAATCTCTTGAGTGCATCTCTTGTCGCTTACGTGCAAGTATCCCTTTATAGCCGTCGTGCGAGTATTCTGTTGTTGACGATGCGAGGGTATTGGAGCATACAAGTGTCATTTACTTTTACGCAGACGTCACCCAAATATCACTACACAACTCTGAATAAACTTTTAATTCGGGCTAACGGAGGGACACAGAAAATTCGCCGTTTAAGTCACTGAAACGTATGTCCCATTTGTTTGCAAGGTATAATCTAAAAAAAAGTTCCTATGTATTGGTTTTTTTTACTTGTCTGTGAAGACGTATACGTATGGGTTGTGTACTACCCCATAGAGCTAATAGACAAGATGGTTCTAGATGCAGCATCTCTGTGTTGAAGGGTGCGATGAAAGTATTCCACTGAAAGACTCAGACAGTGCTTCCAGAGGAAATAGGGTCCATCTCGTGACAACTCTTCATAATTGGGTTATACATGGTACTGGTACTGACGACAGTACACATGTAAACTAACACGAATAAATGAAACCAACACGTCGTTCAAAAGCTTTATTCTTGAAGAATGGCCTAATGATATTTTGGAGGCACTTGCATGTGTTTCTTCACTGTAAGCAACTGGTAGGCAATGACCAGGTTGCATGCAGGTCTTTTGAAGCTATCTGCATACGTCCACGCCATCCTATTTGCAAAAGGTTACGCGCAATGGCGCTGAACCTTTTACATCGATTTCGGAGACTTAAAATTTGCGCAACCACGGATTGAACAACTTTACATAGCACTACTTTTGGTCCAGGTGATCGATTACACACAGAAGCCCAGTTTCTGCAGTCCGTATATGGACGCAAAATTCCACTCACAACACGATATATACCATCATTGCACATCACTGTCAGTGTGTACAAACCTCCAGATGCACAGCATCCACACACACATCTGCAGATGCACATCATCAACACTCACACACCTGCAGATACGCAACATCAACCAAAACAAACCTGCACATACACATCATTAATACACACACACCTCCAGACACATCATCAATATATACATACCTGCAGATTTACATAATTAACACACACACGCTCAGATACACAATATAGTACACACACACCAGCAGATACACAATATCAACCAACACATACCTGCGAATACACATCATCAATACACACACACCTGCAGATAACATCAATACACACACACCTGCAGATAACATCATCAATACACACACCACTGTCAGCACACATTTGTATGTTGGCTATGCATGCCTGCAGCGTTTAATGTGGTACAAAGCGAGCCGTCTAAAAGTGTATTGCTCCGCTTAGCGTATATGTTGTTGACAATCGTTTAAGCATATCACAAAATAGCCCTCGTCAGCTATGCCACTCTTGACAACGCAAATAAGTGCCAACAAAGAAAGTACACGGGAATGGAAAAAAATTATGTGTCAATACAAATGAGTGCCAACAAACAAAGTACAGGAAACTGCACAACCTTTAAGTGTCAATACATATAAGAGCCAACAAACAAAGTACAGGAAACTGCACAAGCTTTATTTGTCAATACAAATAAGTGCCAACAAACAAAGTACAGGAAACTGCACAACCTTTATGTGTCAATGTCAGAGGGCGAGTAAGGCCAAAGATTGGTGGGACGGCATTGCACTGCAGTTTGTTATCGATGAATTTATTTATTAGCAATACAACATACGTAATGTATTATCATGAGATTATTCATTAGCAATACAAACTACGTAACGTATTGCATGGTCATTCTCGCGTGCTGTTTAATTAACTACATAGCTACACCATCACGCCCGCCCAATGTGCCTATATCCATGTATCATTTAGTAGCCCTCCTTCTTGAGCTCACGCGACTGGAGTGTGTGCAGAGCATCCTTGATGCTGCAGCCTTCGTAAATGACTTTGTACACAGCGCCACAGATGGGCATGTCCACCTTAGTGCGCTCCTGCATCTGATAGATGGACTTGGCCGTGAACACTCCCTCTGCGATGGCCTTAGAACTGTTCCTGTTGGGGCCAGCATCGGCATACATCAGAGTGTCAGAAAGGTGTTCTTGTAATAAACATACAGACGGGTAATGAACATACAGAAAGGTCAAGGTTCTTATAGCGGACAGACCCAGTCACTGAACGAATGAGGCGAGTAATACATTGCAAATACGTATAACCAGGCATATGGCTTGCAATTGATTGCGGTAGCTTGCAGTTGAATAGAGACCACAACAATGCACAGGAGCCACATGCGTGCGTGCACACACTACTTACCGGATATCGTCTATAGACTTGCCCTCAGCTAAAGCCTTGCCGGTCTGGTAGTTACGCGACAGAGTGCCTGTGCACGTCAGCACCAGATCACCCACACCCGCTAGTCCCATGAGCGTGCTCTCCTTGCCTCCCTTGGCGACCACAAGACGTCTAAGCTCAGCCAGGCCACGCGTGATGAGTGCAGCACGTGCATCGTAACCGAAGCCAAAGCCATCACTCGCACCGCTGATACGGGAGACGACGGACAGATGGTTAGTGGAAGAAGACCACAAGAAAAAAACCCTTCTTATGGATTAGACGCCAGGATAGGACGTACAAGCGATAATGCAACGTGACTACAGCAACAGTGATGCGCATACCATGCAATGGCCAGTACGTTCTTGACCGCACCCGCCAACTCGGCACCAATGATGTCATCGCCCACGTACACGCGGAACATGATGTCACTTAAGTAGTGTTGTACCTGCACACGAGAGACAAGTAAGATAAGGCGAGGTGGTGAGTGATACTTACATGCACACGAGAGACAAGTAAGATAAGGCGAGGTGGTGAGTGATACTTACATGCACACGAGAGACAAGTAAGGTAAGGCGAGGTGGTGAGTGATACTTACATGCACACGAGAGACAAGTAAGGTAAGGCGAGGTGGTGAGTGATACTTACATGTACACGAAACAAGTAAGGTAAGGTGGAGTGGTGGGTGATACTTACATGCACACGAGAGAGAAGTAAGGCAAGGTGAGGTGGTGAGTGATACTTACATGTACATGAGAGACAAGTAAGGTAAGGTGAGGTGGTGATTGATACTTACATGCACACGAGAGAGATGTAAGGCAGGGTGAGGTGGTGAGTGATACTTACATGCACACGAGAGACAAGTAAGGTAAGGTGAGGTGGTGAGTGATACTTACATGCACACGAGAGAAGTAAGGCAAGGTGAGGTGGTGAGTGATCCTGTCATGTACACCTCATGAGACAACATTAGTCAGACAGAGTGCGATAGTTCCATGCACTACGTGTACCGCCGCAGCTTTATATCTAGAGAGATACTAATGCACATTTTGTGATATGTTCACAGCACTTCGCACGACTAACAACTAGCGCTGGCGTTAGCGGCGCATGCGTTGAGTGTGTTACTCACCGTCAGGGCAATCTCCTCGCGCACAGCTGCGCAGGTGACACTGGTGGGCTGGTTCTGGGCCACTTCCAGGGCAAAAGACGGTCCGGAAATGCAGGCCAGGTTCCGTAGGTACTTACCAGGCAGCTCTTCACTGCGAGCGATAGGAGACACGTGGTTGTGTGTGAGTCTGCTGTGCAATGCGCCGATTTTACACTTGACACTCTGCACCTGATATATCAAATCTCCTTTGGACATAGACATTTACGGTGATTAATTCAAGTCAGGACTAATAAATGAAACCATGACAACTGCAACGTAACCATGACAACTATAAGACAACCATAGCAACTAAAAGATACAACTGCTGACCACTCACCTTGCGATCTCGTACGGTGTGTCGAGAGAGTCGTTCTCAATACCCTTTGAGCACAGCACAAGCGGCACGTCTACGGGGAACAGCGTTCGGTTTGCGACCAGGAAGCTGCGGAAGAATGGTGTAGGAATCACAAACAACACCATCTCTGTGTCCACCAACGCCTCTGATACCTCTTTATGGGCCTATGGAGTTCATAGTCAAGATAATATACCAAAACATGCGGTAGCGGTTAAAAATATGCGCGTTCGTAGAGCACACGCAGCACCGACTACAATATGTTTAGTTGATGGAGTGAGTACACGCACGCGGTTGGCCGCCTATTGCAAGCAAGACAAGAAATGAAGTGAGTGAGGGGCCACGAATGCCATGAAATTTCAACTCAAACCCATGAAATAGACTGGCGATAATAAAGAATACAAAATCAGACGTACATGGAACTGGATAACAAAGCTGCATGCTTCCCTAAAGCATAATAAAACAACCGCAAATAAGTTCAGTAACCAGAATACACAAGAAGAATATTATACGAGAACAACTAGTAACTTCAATGCGACACAAACGAATATTTCGATGTAAATCTACACCTGCAACAGATCATTCCGATTACAACATATCATTCCGGTCCTGAATGCATCCATTGAAGTGCAAAGGTTACTATATATATATATATATATAGTAGGTGTGTGTGTGTGTGTGTGTGTGTGTGTGTGTGTGTGTGTGTTGTGTGTGTGTGT